CGGGCTTAATATTTTCCAAACTTGTCCCTAATTCAATTTATAAAGGGATTCTGCAAATCTACAGGTAAATATCTTTCATTTGGTACCAACCACGTGTAATTCGGTCCAGTGGTATGGTCAGGCTGGCTGTCATAAGTTTTGCAAAAGTTTTTTAGTATATAAGATATTATGTCCAAAGGTTTTAAAGTCATTGATGTTTGCCAATGAGAGAAATACAATTTAGGTTAAATTGTTGCTTTGCTAAACACAGTACTTACTTGAAAATGTATTGTGCCAGTATTGAAAATAATTTTCTTGCATAAGAATTTAGACTGAGACGATTTGCAAGTTTTTGTAAGCAATTTTAAAGATATGTTCAGAATTTTTGTAAATTTTGCGCTTAAAAGATTGGTTTGGAGATACTGACAGTGACTGAGGAATTTTTGTGTAACATATGTTTTTAAAAAGTTGTGTCTGTTTATGAATATTTTGGAATAAGTATTACTAGTGTACCTGTTGCTCGAATTCGAGCAATTGCAAAGCATTACAGGCGACTCAAGGATTATGGAAATACTCACGATCTACACAACAGTTAGATATTATCAAAATCTTTTGTAAATATCTTATCTTTTTTCAAAAAGCTGATCTTGTTTTTTTAGTATTTTTAGTGTAAAAAAACATTATTTCTATTTCTTCTACTTAGTTGTGTTCTATGACTTTTTCTATGTTTCCATTGTTTGGAAATCGGTTATTTCAATGATTCCTCAAGAAATGTAGCACAGTGTTAATTCAGTTTTATTTTTAGCCTATATCAAATTGTCCAGGATTTCTCGCTCTTTTCCATTGTAATAATTACACCAACCCAAGTTTCGTCTACGGATGCAATATGCCAAAGAATATCACCTACGTACAATCTCCAAGAAGTGGTAAAAACGGCAGAAATTAACCAATACAATAGATATAAGTTAACTCCATAAGTAATAATTTCAAAAATTACTGTGATATTAGGATTTTCTACTGATTTGGTAATAGAACATTATATTGCAAAACATGACACGATGCAGAAGAAAATCAATTTTAAAATCAGAAAAATCCATTGCAAATACTGTACTTCATTTTGACAAATTCAATAAATCACAATTTTTAATATTAACAGCTGTTGCATTAGAAAGTAGTGTAGAATTATGCATATGGTCGTAATGTAAACAAATCTGAAGAGGCAACTTTAAAGACTTCTGGGGCAGAGCCCCAAGGATATTTACCTTGTTTCTCTTTTGATGGCTCATCTACAGACTAAGACCTTTCTTTAGAGACCCCTACCAAGTTTCTACGCCCAGACGTTCTCTGAAATTAGCTGTGACAAAATCCCGTTTTTCCTCCATAAGAATAACATGGGATGGGAATTTAAAGGCCACTGGGAATTTACCACGTTTCTCTTTTGATGGCTCATCTACAGACCAAGACCTTTCTTTAGAGACCCCTACCGAGTTTCTACGCCCAGCCGTTCTCTCAAATTAGCTGTCACAAAGAAAAACAGTTTCAAATTAATATATAGATTATACTTTTGGATATGTAGGGTTTGGAGGATTATTCCCTGGACCCAGAGCCTCACCCTGCTGATGTCTGTACCAATCTTGACCCTGCGGAAGAGGTATACCTGTTTGACCTTACCTACCCTAACCGCGACTGCGGATTTGACAGATGAGTGTAGCTTTAGGATCTTAGAAATGTGGTTGGACTTTTAAAGAACTTTTCAGTATTCAATACTGCAAGACCTGGATCAAAACTATTTTAGTCTATTGGGATATTATTAAAATCACAAATTGAGGATAGGGTTAAGTTAGAAATAGTATATGGTAACCTGTTGATTATTTGTCTGTACGTATATTGTATCTGATAACTTTTAGTCTATTTGTGTTTAGTGATTTTCAAATTTTGAAAAGAAATGAGAACCCTTCTTAAAAACAAAAAATAAATAAAAAATAGAAAAAAATATATCCAAAGCGCTTTCTACAAAAACAAATTGTATTTGGATCATTTAACAGTTCAGTATATTGAATATGCTACCTGTGCTGGTCGGAGTTGTTATTTCCATTATAACTCTCATGTCCATGAATGTCGAAGAGGTCAGCATGTACAGTCAACGCAGGGTCTGTGTGAGAGATGTGATCCTCTACGGTCCACTCACTGGGGTCTGCTGGTAGCTTGGGAGGACCTTCAGATTGTGGGGTAGAGGTGGCTACTTCTTGTTCTGTTGAATTATCCGAGTCTTCTACACATCATCATCTATATGGTCTTCTATGACCATTTCACGAAGATACTAGGCTGATGCAAAAACTGAAGAAAATTAAAATTTATGTAACCAGCAAAGTTCTACTACAGTGACTCACAAATCTGACATGTTTCCTCATGGCAGGTACATTTACGTACCACCTCCTTTTGATTGTTTTTTTTTTTTAAACCCGGGAATCTGATTGGACATCCTGGATAAGGAAATTCGAACGCTATAGGGTCGCTTCACTTTCAAACCGTGAACCTCAGGAAACTCAGATCAGTTCTTTATTACTTGCCATGGATGACGATGTTAAGTATATTGTTGATTCATTTGGGCTGTCTAACGCCTCTTATGACGAGGTTGTACGCAATTTTAATAATTACTTTAACAAAGCTGGCAACATTGTTTATGAAAGAGCACGGTTTAATAAGAGGAACCAGCTTGAAGGAGAATCTTTCGAACTATACTTAACAGCTCTTTATAGATTGGTCAAAAATTGTAGCTTTGGGGCACTTAAAGACGAGATGCTACGTGACATTCTAAACTGACAAAGAAACATGTCAGATTTGTGAGTCACTGTAGTAGAACTTTGCTGGTTACCTGAATTTTCATTTTCTTCAGTTTTTGCATCAGCCAGGTATCTTCGTGAAATGGTCATAGAAGACTTCGGATGATTCAACAGAACAAGAAGTAGCCACCTCTACCACACAATCTGAAGGTCTTCCCAAGCTACCATCAGACCCCAGTGAGTGGACCGTAGAGGAGTCATCTCACACATCTCCCACACAGACCCTGCGTTGTCTGTACAAGCTGACCTCTTCAGGAGAAATTACATTCATGGAAATGAGAGTTATAATGGAATTTAATAATGATACGTCTTATAACACTTAAAACATATATTTACGCTTATACTGTTACTCACAAGACGGTAAATTTACAAAAAAGGTGGTAAGTGGTGATCAATTTTGATTGGACACTTTAATCATCATCAGACCCAATGGGTCTGATTATGATTGGAGTGTTTCTTTTTATTTATGCGGCGAAAACGTTACCCGATTCTCTTCCTCAATGTACGTGTCGCACAAATAGTCCGCGAATGCTGTCAATTTAATGTTCACTGGCTGGGTGCCAACAAGCTGGCAGAAGACCTCTTCAACATCTCCTGGCTTGAGACTGGATAAACCAAAGAAATGGTGAAGCCATCTCACTTCCTCTGAGTCTTTGTCTTTGTTTACAGACGATAATACTAAGTTTTGGATTTTTCTCCACCTGAAAACATTAAGCGATCTAGAATGCAAAGAATAACTAATTCAGTGGTTTAAATACATTTTCTGTAGCAATACACTTGTTAAAAAATCAACTAGTTTCGACCTTCTACGAGGTCATCAAGAACATAATATCCTCACAAGAAGGTCGTCAAAATTAAAAGCTCACACATATTTATTTACGAAACACGTAGAGATTTTCGGCCGTTGTTTACTGTTAACTCGTGAGCCGTAGATACGTAGGTCACTGTGGAAGTTGACTCTTGGCCTTTTAATTAGAACTAATAGTGTAATTGGCTTTACTCATACAAAGTTTCAACCATTTACCTTTAGTCTAAGTAGACTAAAATACACTTTCCACTTTGAGCCGTCCTTCAAACACGTTCCACCGCTGGACTAAATAATATGTATGGCAATATGTATCAAATTAATTTTGCACTATTTGGCAAGCACTACCGTTTTTCGATTACTAGTATTTTAAATTTCCCGGTGTTTAAACACGCGAATAAGAGTCAACCCCCCCCCCAATATAGTATTTTTTTTTTAGGTAAATATACAGCTTTTGGAGATCGTGCAATCTTAGCAGGGTTTCAGTTTATGATTTTGGACATTTTGTTTTTCATTTTATATCCTAATAAGGTAGGCCATGTTTTAATACTTAGACATTCTACCTAATGCAGTAAATACGGTAAAATGGTTTAAATGGTTAAAATCAGCATAAATTGTTATTTTGGCGTCACAGACACAATGACAGACATACTTAAATTGAGATAAGACTCTTTTCGGCTTTCTTAGAGTATAACACGTAAATATAACCCAAAAGATTATGACTCTACGCAAATGAACACACAAAAATGTAATTTTATTTATATAGGTTGCTTACAACGATTGTCCTAGATGAAACCTACAACCAACGATCTTAGCCTCCGGGAGGATGATTTTGATACATTCATGGACCGGCTGTTTAAAATCCACGACTATCCATTGGGGTTGAAGTTGTAGTCTTCTTTTCAGGCATTCTTCTTGGAAATTTTTGATTGCATTTATGTACGTTTGCTTCTTCTTGTATCTAAGAAGACAAAATTATTATTATTACTATTATTTATTATTTTATTTCCCAACGACATAGCCACTTTACAATGAAAAAATCATTCACAACTTGAAATTACAGGAAACTAAATAGTAAAAGTTGTACAAATAGTGAACAATAACAATAGTAGTAACAATATCAATAGTAACAAAAATATTAACAATACAAATATTTACAATTTATAAATAGAAATTTGGATGGCAACAAGTAGTGCATGAGTGAGATCAAAAAAGAGTGTGAAGTTATTTTACAATAAATATCAACATTGACAAAAATGCAGGAACAATCATAAATATCAGGTTTACAAATTTTACATACTTCACAGACAAGATGAACAAATGCTGGTGAAAATCTGTGTCTGGAAGTAGGCCTAGTTTACGCTCGTACAGGTTCAAGGAATGAAGATTTCCGTAGCACATCTTCTGAAATGAGAAATTGTGTCACAGAACAGGTCACAGTCTGGAGCAACACGATTTCCAAGCCTGGCAAGACGAGCTAGTGGGCTGTGGAAGTCGAAAGACGTGTTGTAGTGTCTTCGGGAAAAGAGTTCCCTAGTCCTAGTGCCAGACGGTAATTTGAAGTCAATTTTTGACAGGATGTCCGGACAAAATAGAAGACCTCTGATTATTTTCAGTAGGAACATGAAGTCGGCCAAGTCTCGGCGCACCGCAAGAGATACAAGCTGCAGTTCAGAAGAGAGAGAAACGACAGGGACATCCACGTAGTTGAAGCCATTGCGAACTCCCACTAAGCGGATGAAACGTCTCTGCAATGCTTCAAGCCTGTCTGTTTCACCAATAGCATAGGGTGACCACACGGGGCTGGCGTACTCCACAATCTGTCTCACCATAGCGCAGTACAGCGTTCTTAGAGCATCAGGGTTGTTAATCCCACGGGTAGATCTAGAGATGAAGCCCAACATTTTGTTGCCCTGTTTACAAATCCCATCATCGTGGTCGGAGAAGCCCGTGTCTTGACGGAAGAAAACACCCAGATCCTTTATACCAGTAACTCTTGGGATATCAACATCTGAGATTGAGTAAGATGTCAAGAGGGGATTCTTGCTGCGATGAAAGGACATACTTGAACACTTTTCAGGGTTAATCTGCATGTTGTTACTGATTCCGTCCAGGCTTTTTTGCATCATGCGGCAGTCTTCTACTGAGGAAATCTTGGTGAATACTTTAAGATCGTCGGCAAACAATAGAGCATTGGTTTCCACAGCGTCTACCAGATCATTGATGAAAATGTTAAATAGCCATAGGACTAATATGGAGCCCTGAGGGACGCCAGAAGATTGAGTAAACTCTCCAGATTTTACACATTCAATTTTGACAACCAGAGAGTGATTGGACAAGTAGTCAGTAATCCAGGAAAGCATGGGATCCGTAACTCCGTACCCTCTTAATTTGGACACTAAGATGTTATGATCAACTTTGTCAAATGCTTTGGTCATGTCTATGTATATCGTATCAACTTGGTTATTGTTGCGGAAGGCAGAGAGTACAGATTCTTGAAACAGTAGCAAGTTGGATACTGTTGATTTCCCAGGTACGAAATTTTAGGAGCATACTCAAAAGTTCCGTCCGTGAATATTGTTTCACTTTCATTTGAGAGAAACTTGAGGTAATAAGATAAAAATCACAATTTTATTGCCACGATCGTTGACAAGGAGGAACTCCTCACCTTTGCTAGTGGTAGTATAGTAGTAATGTTTTCAAGAGCAGTTTGAAGTTCTTCTGTCGTTTTTTGTGAGCTTAGGCATTGTCTTGGACTTGGCACGATACAAATTGTTTCTTAAATGTAACATCCTGATGTGTGAGCGTTGACAATGGTTTCTCTAGTTCTTCCGCCACTTTTTCGATCTTCTGCGCAGGTTTATTCCCTGCGATGTCTTCAATGTTCCTCTTTACTGTGTTGTTTACTATTTTCCGATTGAGCACTTTCTCCTCAATAGGATCGTGATTGTGGTTAGACACGACACGAGAAAATACACTACCATCTTCAAGCGTATACAGTTTTGCATTACAATGTTTACCAAGCGAGCACCGCCAACACTGTTCCGACGTTGATTTTATGTCTTTATAAAATCTATAAGTACAGTATTATTTTCATAGATAATAACGAGTTTTCCCCTCTCACTGTACACTTTTTCCATCGGAATAAAACAATTGCACTAAATATCAATGAAAGTCTTAATAGAACAAACTAAACACCGAACATAAGCTTAGCAGCCAACGTGTCAACTAAATCCGCACTTAGGTCAAACTAAAGGTGTCGTCATGTGTTGGGTTAGTCAAAAACTGAGCTTCGACCACATTCTTGTGTTTAGGGTTGGTAATGGCATTTTGCGAATTGGCACCCGGGAATTTCCAGTCGATGGTAGAGGGGGATAAACAACCCTGCATATTTGACACTGATATCTCGGAGTAAATTACTATACAGTATTATTTTTAAAGTGGACTGATATATATACTGCCGGTCAATGATTTGACTTGTTTTAATGCTTTAACATAAAGAACGGCTATAATAAATGTATACATATAATAAATATGTGTACATAATGGCCATATGCCATAAATAGTTATGTATGCGTTATTACAAGTACACAGGGGAAGGAGCATTTCTCGTGGTGTTTAATTTGCAGGAGCCGTTAACAAAATAAGCGTATGCTTACATAAGTTATGTAAAAAATAACAAATTATATAATGACATCTTATAATGCTCACGTATTTCAGCTATTTGCACAACATTTGGGCACGACCCTGTCGTCTCAAGTCATTGAAAACCAGTGTAAGCCTAAATAAACTCGCATTTATTTATTTTCATTTACCTGCATTACTGACACAGTAAAAAATATTAAATGAATAATTCGGCATTTACAAATAATTTCCTTAAAGATTTAAAAACTGAGCATTTCAAAAGGGAAAGGTCCGTTGTTGCGAGCATTTCAGAAGCAGCATACAGATTGCACTTACGAATATTTCGGCAGGTGTAGAATCTAGCATGAGGTAAACCTCGAGAAACTGGCAGCGAGAAAGAAAAAGGAGGATTATGGGGATCTGCTTGAACTAGGTACTCATCAGCAACGTGAACGGAGAAAGATTTGAAACTGCAAAAAATCAAATCCAACGTTACTTGTCTGTAGTTCCTTATGTGATTAATTTGGTCTAAGGAATGGATTTCAGCGAGGTTTCTATCTTGGGTCGATCAATGATGGGACCTTCAGGTGTAGTGCAGTCATACGAGGCGATGTTATATTCACCAGCTAGTGGTAAAGAAGATGAAGAGGCCAAAGAAGATGCTACTTCATCCACCGACTCGCAATACTCATTATATGTAGAAACAGGTTGTCCCGTGGTAATGTAGACACAATTCAGTACCAGTTTGTGGGTGGGCAGAGATACGTAGAGATTCTCAATGTGTGAATCATTAATGATTCCATGCGATTGTCGCATGAATGATATTTTTTATCGCAATTAGTACCCCCCCCCCCCCGACGTTTTGTTGCTTGAAATAATGTTTCTATCCTTCTAGTCCAAGAATTTTGGGGATAAAACTGCCATTCGACCTAACAAATTCGGTCTAAGTGGAAACTTTGCACAGTTGTTTAGTATGCCTAAATAAATAAAATATCAAAAGTCCCCATAAATCCCAACTGTGCTTCAGCCGCCATCTTGGAAAATGGCGGCCAATTTTCACTTTTTTGACAATATTTTATGAATTTGTTAGGTCGATTTTCCTAATATTCTTCCACTATTCCTATAAATCGTGTAGGTATTGTTTGCCTGGAGCTCAGAGTTGGAAATATCTGGGAATAGGTTTGTTTCACAGAGCAGTATCGCGTCATATATGTTGCAAGCCAGGGCATTTTTTAAGTCTAAGTTTGGTTCGGAGGCCATTAACATTTTGGAAGTATAAATTCAGATTATGTTTGCCTTTGGAAGATATTAGTTTTTTGGAACAATCTTGGGAATTCTATTAAAATATTTAATAGTCAGGTCCTGTTCTCCAGAATCCGTACGGGCTTTAAGAGTGTCCCGCAAATCAGAGAAGTACTGTCTTTCTTTCAGAGTACGATCACGGGCAAGAGAGCCACTATTTAGGCAACCAACAGAGCCTTTTTTCGAGTCAAAACTTCGAAAGAGTGTGGATGCCTCGCCCTCCAACGAGAGGCAGAGCTTGATAGCCCGAGGCTTATTCCTGTTAGTCTTCCCAATTCTGAAGAAACGGGTGCTAATCAAAGAAGGTCCAAGATCGCAGCAGTCCAGAATTTGTTTTATGAGATCTTTATAGTGATCTTTCACAGTTTCGGGCAAAGTTGATTTGCATTCTCCAAGCCCAAGAATTATTACGTTGCGTGCCCGACGCTGTCTGTCGTTGACTATCTCTAAAAGGTTATCAATTTGCGTATCGTTGCTGACAGTATTTTTCTTTAAGTCTAGAAGTTCACCCTCAAGCATGGCTCTAAAGAGTTTATCTTACTACTCAGTTTGTGTATATCAGTTTTTATCACTTGCAACCCATCAGAAATTCCCTTCACTTCTTCTTTTGTTGCGAGTTGGGAGAACTTGTTGAGCAATTCGTCAATTTTTTCATGAGTTGTAGGGACGGATTAGAGCTTGTAGGTTGACAATCCATTCTCCGGCAGTACCATTTTTTATTTACAGTACTAGCATATGAGGAATACTCGGATTTGGTTACACCAATGAATTTCATATGAAACCATCCTTGGCAATCAGAATCACATTGTAGTCCATCTTCGGTATCAAATGCCTTCTTCACACATACTCTACAAGTTGTAGAATCCGCCATAATAATCAGAGATACTTAATATAGTATGACTTGTAACAGTGACGAGAGATCTAGATGGCAGGGGAAAAAGTTGATGCGCAGGTCTGTCTTTAGATTCGTACGACCTTGGAGTGACGTGACGTGGGTTATTGACAACACAGATGACAGGATATTGTTTAGATTTAATGTAAGAAAGAAAGTGTCTATAATTAAATGTTTATCGAGATGATGTGAAACAAATTCACACAAAAGACTCACTGATGAAGGGCAGTTGGAGTTACGAGCTCCTAGTATTAGGAAGTTATTTAAACAAGGTAAAAGCGTACTTTTAGCAAGAACACTTAGTCACACCAAAACTGTAGCAGCCATCTTGCAGACGAAAAATTAGTCCGAACTTTGTAGGGAAGTCATTTACCTGATAATAGTAGTTGTAGTTTCTTTTCAATTTAATATTCTTGGATGATTTATCAAGTGTCAAACAAAAGCTATTGATTTGTATAACGGCTTCGGGTACGGTCAATAGTTCCGCAGACTTAGGACACTTAACTTCTAAGATGTCTTCTGCTCCCACCACACCGTCTGGAGAAGCTGCTAGGAAGTCAAGCGTTTTATCAATAAATAAACCACAAGGAATTACTTTAGTGTTGTGTTTTTCTTCAAAACACTATATAGCAGCAGATTTATTATGCTCTCCATACATCATTGCATCTGTTGAAACTTAAGTGTAGAGCAAATGTTGAACAACAGGTGCCCACAATGATTATATCTTCGCTTTGATTTAGATCCGAAATTTGAAGCAGTCAGTCTAACTTTTCTTTCTTCAAGCCAACGACTATTTTCCTGTTTTCCACGGGTGGCAACTTCAATAAACGATTTTTCCTCGTCGTTTAATGCTAAAGACTTCAAAAGATCTAATTTTTCTTTCTCCAACTTATCATCTTCCAAGTCAACAAGCCTTAGGCAGAAGATTCCGTAATCTTTAGTACCTGACATTTCCTAAGTTTTTTTTCTTGTAACCGTGCTTTTGTGTTTACTCTTATTCTATTTCTTCATCAAAGCCCTCCTACATGTCATGAGCCGTTTTGTTCGCCGCAATCCTATTTTCTTTACCAGAATTGCGGGACTTCTTTTCAAATGGGATTTCATATTTTTGTAATGCCACATTGGACCGTACTGAAAGTCTAATTTGGGAAATAAAATGAACTAAGTGTGATTTTTACATTCTTCCGACTCAAATCATATAGGACCGGATAACTACGCACTAAATCGATAAGCTTTTAGTCTTGCACCAAATAAATTATCTTGACTCCATACTGAAAATGAACACTCTACTTAACTAATCTTTACACCGACTTAAAGCACAATTAAAAACAGTGTTATAGCTCAAAACAAAATGAGGATCCTCAAGAGTCCTACACTTGTCCACTCGGCGTGCATGCCAGAAATGACTAGGGTCATTTTCAGCGTGCCACGCTTAGGACTCACGTCGGACAGATGGTGGGAAAACTCGTGACCGGCGTGATCGCTCGTGCTTGGAAACCGCACCCATATAAAAGCATGGGCATGGGAAAGCATTACTGGTTTTACCACATCAATGTCATCTGTGCCAGTCTGAGGGGAACCAAAATAAAGAGCACTCACTACCTGTGTTTCACTCATTCT